CCGCCTGGAGCCCACAGCTATGCTAGGCCCTCTACAATACCAGCTTGGAAAAGATGGCGGCGGTATATTTAGCACAGTTGCTAAGTCCGTTAGCTCCAGTCAGGCTGCCAGACTTTAAATTCGGCCTCTACTACTTCACATCTGTGGACTGTCAGCCACTTTCTTCATTTATGTGCTTTCCATTGTCTCATCTCTGAAACGGTGTAACTGTTAAAAGAGCTACAGAGCATTGCATGTGTTAACGTAAAGTTCTTAGAGCAGTGCCTGGCACTACAGAAAGTACTCAGTGAAAGTTAGCTTTTATTATTTTAAATATTTGACAAAGTCCCTGCTTCTCCAAGCTGCCTCTCTGGTTCCCGTGTGGTTTCATTTATGCAGTTATTCCTGGAAGTCTTGGCATGGCCACTTCCCAGTTCCAGGAACAGGCAGTGGTGGTTTCTTCCCGCTTATCACATTGAGATACATGGTTAGTTTAAGTGACACTTAGAAGTGTGGGGGCTCCTTTCTTTCTTGAGCTTTTCCTAAGAGCAAACCTTTCTCTTAATGCCACCCGGTGTTTACAATATAAGGGTTTTGAGCAATGAACAAGCACGAGGAAATGAAAAACACAAAGGAAAATGAGTGGATTGCTGCAACTGGATAGACAAGTGTAAAATACTCGCTTCTCATTGTGCATCAAGCAGCCTTCAGATATGTAAGGGAACTATTACTACTGACTGAAAAGAGCAAAACAGTACTGTACACTCACTGTTGAATCAACAAGCACAGATTAAGTGGCTTGTCTTGGACAAGACAAACCAAGCTCTGGCCTTTGAGGGATTAAACTGCAGGTGGAGAGACTTCAAATATTTGTGAACTGGCCCTTGTGCTGTTTTCCATCCTCATCTCTAAGGGTCTCCATCTTTTACTCAGTAATTTCACAAATTTTCATTTCCCAGAGGAGGCCAGTTTCCTGAAGCTCAGGACTTCTACCAGTGAGCTTCTCTCTTACCATGTCCCTCAACTTACTCCAAATTTATCACTTTACAGAGAGTTAGAAAGAAGTGTGTAGCAATCAGATTGTAACTTGAAGTTCTGTTTGTTTTGGAGTAAATATAATTCCAATGGTACATTATATGACTTTATTACAAACTTTTAAGTACAGCATAAAATATGATTTCCTCTTTCTCTGAAATTATTTCTAGAATTTGCTTTTTAGTAAGACTGGTGGAAGCAGTGATTTAAAGTTATAATGTTAGATTAATTAGCTAATTTAATCAGGACACAGCTCAATCATTTCCTAAACAGAGTTAATTATTTCTTGGAATAGACTCATCATATTAGTCAGAATTCTCTAAAGAAACAGAACAGTAGGATGGAGACATGTATATATGAAGAGATGTATTACAAGAAATTGGCTCATGAAATTTTGTGTGCCAATTAGAAGTCTGTAAACTGGAGACCCAGGAAAGCAAGTGGTATAATTCAATCTGAGTCCAAAAGCCTGAAAACCAGGGAGCCAAAGGTGTAGATTCCAGTCTGGGTTGAAAGGCCTGAGAACCAGGAGCATTTAGAGCAGATCAATGTTCCAGCCCAAGCAATGTGGTAGAAAGAGGTGAATTCCTCTTTGCTTTACCTTTTGTACTACTCAGATCCTCAGTGGAGCAGGTGTAGCTGCCCCCCACACTGATTAGGGCAATCTACATACTCATTGAATGGTTTCAAGTGCTAATCTCACTCAGAAACACTGTCTAGACCAGGTGTCCCCAAACTTTTTACACAGGGGGCCAGTTCACTGTCCCTCAGACTGTTGGAGGGCCACCACATACTGTGCTCCTCTCACTGACCACCAATGAAAGAGGTGCCCCTTCCTGAAGTGCGGCGGTGGGGGGGCTGGATAAATGGCCTCAGGGGGCCGCATGCAGCCCGAGGGCCGTGGTTTGGGGACGCCCGGTCTAGACTCACCTAGAAATAAAGTTTAATCTGAGCATCCTGTGGCCAATCAAGTTGACACATGAAATTAACCATCACAAGTCCACCCCTTATCAACTTGACACCCTTATTATTCATGTTCTTAAACTCTACTTAATATTAAAATAAAGGTAAAACAAGATTATAATATCAACTAACATGCTCCAACGATCTTGAGTTGTATCAACTGAAAATTCACTGACTGTTTCCCCATAAGTGGAGTTAAAGACCTTGAGTAATTTTAACTCTTCTTGATATCCTGTAACCTAAATACTATGTTGTAAAATTAAAAATACTTAAATACTATGATATAAAAGCATACATCTTATGTTACATGATAAGGGATTAAGAGATAAAAGTAAACTAAAACACACATACATAGCAAAATAAGGAGGAAATAATCATAATAACTATACTCCTTATCTGTAACTAGTCATGTGCTTGTAACTGGCATTTATAACTACCTTCTTTTACTACCCACTCTGAATTCCCTTTTCTTTCAGCAAGCCCCTCAGGTGGTGGTAGTTCTTTACCTGGTGGAGGACCCAGACACTCATTTCTAAGGGACTGGGCCATTCTTAGACCTGCCTGCATTGGGTTGTTGTAGTTTTTCATTGACTAATCGCAGGGCATGGTAATACTGAGAGATGCTGTACTGGATTTCCTGAATTCCAAACATGCTGTTACTTATCTCCAGTCTGGAGTACTAGTCCACTTTTTCCTTGATAGACAGAATCAGTTTCCCCAGTCAGCACGGTAATTCCCTTCTTTGTTGATTCAAAGGCGTGAGGGAGTGCAGAGTAGCCAGGTGACAGTATTAATTTCCAATTCCATGAAGCCATTGTTGTGTTCCTGCTCAGAAGCATTTTTCTCTCTGGAATTAGGAACTCTAGGCCAACAGAGCAAAACTGACATAGGAAGACAAAATCTTGCTAGATGTCTCTACAGGCAATGTGGAGTGATGTCACTTACTTTTCTATTGTTTCACACCTGGGCCCATGAATCCTGTCTGTGGGAGAAACAGTACCGTATTTTGGATACCGTTTCTGAGCATCCAAGGTGCATCCTTGAAGAACCTTGCCCCAAACCTGCACAGTTTTGCCACCTGGGTGGCATTATAACTGAGTCTTCAGAAGGCCATCCCACCATTCTTTCAAGCCAGCTGTCTCAGGATGGTGGAGATCATGGCAGGACCAGTGAATTCTAATAACTTGGGTCAATTGCCAAGCTCCTTTTGCTGTCAGATTGAAAAAATAATCATGGCTTTTTGTATGTATGTATTCAGTCTCCTTTTTATAGTTTTTCATATGATGGAACCTAACCCACAAATGTAGCCTTGAAAACTTTCAGTCTACCCTGGTTATACATGTTTACTAGCTTATTGTTCGCTTTATAGATTAATTGCAGAAAAATGTAAGTTTTAATATTTCTACTCTTCTGACTTGATAGGTCCACAGCATTGATTTCTGACCAGTGAATGAAAACTGGATTCCGACTGTTGGAAGAAAATCCAGGAAGTTAAATCAGTAACACATAGGCATCTTTTGATTTTTTTCAGAGCCCAATAAACCCACTTGAATTATTCAACCTTTGCTGAACTTCTTGAGTAGAGGTAACTAAGAGGTGGCTATAATTAGAGCATTCTCAAGAGTTTTACTAGATTATGAAAATGTGGGCTTAAAGTTGGTAAAAAAAAATAATTTTGAAATGGCAAGGAAGGAAGAGGTTTCTTCTTGAGAACTCTAGATTTTAGTTGAGGATGTGGAAGGATCAGTTGACTTATTTACCAATTAGGAATTCATGGTAGGAGGAGTTGGTAAAAGGGCAGCCAACACTGGAGCAGGCCTGGGAAGTGGAAAGGAAGTTTGTATTAGTATGCATGGGTCCAAGATAAAAATATTGGGTAATGAAATTTTTGCCTGATGTGTTCATTATAATAAATAGGCATGAAAGGCACCGGAATCTACAGTAGATAGAGAAAGTAGACTGGATAGTAGTGGGAAAGACTAGCATGGGGCCAAGGCACCAGAAGGCAGAATTACTAAGTATAATATTTGCTCCCATTTATGTATCTGTAGAAATACTAAGTACAAAGTTTCACTTGGTAATCAAGGTGCTATGGCTGTGAGAACTCCTGAGAGTGGGTTCTCTGATTAAAAAAAATATATATATATCTGAATGAACAGAGTAGTGTTGGAACTTCTCAAATTTGCTGGTCAGGATTGGCATAACAAGTCCACAGGACCTGAAATTTTCTGAGATAATTGCAATAGTGTGATCTGACTATTAACCTTTCCTGCTCTTTGGCTGGACCATTCTTGGAGCCCAAGCCCAGAGGCTGGGAATCGAACCATACACTTCATTTAGATTGTGCAGGTTGTGAAGGCTGATGTTTTTAGCTCAATTACCCTTTGGGGTCTTAGCTCAAAGCATTTCTTCATGACTTCCTTCCTGATTAGGCCCTCTTCCTAACGGCTTTTAGGAAGTGTTCACCATTGTGGGCTGAGCAATAATTTCTAAATTCCTACCAAAGCCAGCAGTGGCTTATGCCTGTAATTCCAAGACTTTGGGAGAGCAAGACAGGAGGATCACTTGAGTCCAGGAGTTTGAGACCAGCATGGGCAATATAATGAGGCCCTAGCTCCATAGAAAATAATAGTAAATTCCCTCTGTGAAAACAGCAAGGGGAATGAGGTCAAGCCCAAAGGATTTAAATGGCCAGATAAGGCTCTACTAGGTGAATAAGGAGGAATGTCACATTAATGTGACTGTATTGTTTTAGAATATCTTGTTCCAGTGGTTGTATTAGACCTACAAATGTATAGACAACATATTAATATTGTCTTCTTTTTCAGAATTATTTCAATCCATAAACAATAAAATAAGTAATTTACTAAGTATTTAATTTCCTCCCTGTAATACTAAATCTGTTGTTGACTTGTTCTTTGGGTGTCATATTTTTTTTAGCTTATGGAAGGATATTATTTGTAGCTGTGTTTTCCCTTGTAAATCCCAGTACTGGGCCCTCCTGAAAACTTTGCAAGATATTTATGAGATCATGGAACTCACTCTTCTGCTTAAATTCCTCCAGTAGTTATCAATGACACTTGGGATAAAATCCAAACTCCTTATCAAGGGTCTCCCTAGATGAACTTCTTCCTATTGCTCTGGTGACAGCCATGCGTACCCTTCCTCTCTTAACGACTCCTCTCTCTCAGGAACATGCTAAATTCCTTCCAGATCAGGTTTTTACATTTGCTTTTCCTTCTTCCTGAAGTGTTTCTCTACAAAACTTTGCATTAAGTTCTCCCCGTCTTACCTTTTTGATTTCAACATAAATTATACCCATCTAAAGTAACTTCCTTATCCTCTGCCCTTTCTCCCATGTGTTTTCCCCATCATACCAATATGAAATCTTGTATAAAAAATTATTTCTTCCAGAAGTTGACTATAAGCTCATTGACAGCATATTGACTTTTTGAGAGCTGTATCCCCTGATTCCACAACAGAGCCAATCACATCATGCATCATCTATAAATATTTCTTAATTGTAGGAGGAATAAATTATAAAAACTATACTTACAGTGCATTAGTACTAGGTTAAATCTGCTAAGTCTTATTTTTAATAGTATATGAGCTTGTCACCAGTGTTCCAATTAAATGTATTGCCTATCCTGAGTATTAAATTTTATGTAGCATTAAGTATTTATTTAAAATATTGAGGAACATAGTCCCTTGATATCATATTTTATTCCTATGGAATCACTACACTGTGGACTATACAAATAAGCTGATGAAGCGTCATTGAAATGTACAATTACATGTAATATAAAGGTTATACTTATTAAATTTCTTTATTCTGCTAAATACATACTTTAGAATTTTTCATCTGTTAAATCTTTTGCTTTTCTTTCTCAACGTGTTTTGTTTTTACTTTTGTTTAATTTTCACAAATTATATATCTAAAGATCTCAGAGTGATAAATTGTGAAATTTAATTTTGTGACATCAATATCTTAATTGACGTTTTAAGAAAAATATCAAGGGAAACAGGGGAAGAACATACTGTAGATTAAAACTCCTGGTAACCTGTTGGCCCAGACAAGCATCTGAAAGGTACTAGGAGGAATGGCATGCTTTTACCTCTATGCTAGGATTTCTCAAGACTGCAGTATTTTAGAGTGGATAATCATTTGTTTTGGGAGGATTTTCTGAGCATTTTAGGATGTTTAACATCATCCCTGGCTTATACCAACAAGATGGCAATATCAGTCTCTTTTCCAGTTACGACAACTAAAAATGTGTCCAGACCTGGACAAATATCCCTTGAGGGGTCAATCCCCGTCTCCCCACTGACTTCTGTACAAATAATATGTGTCAATTTTATAATTCCACAATTAAAATTTTTCATAGGGTGCTTTGGCTCTGGGAATGCTGACACAAAGCCATTATTATTATTATTATTTCCAATTTCCAATCTCTCTTTTCCAAGAAGGCATACCACAATCTTCATATAGGTCACTTTAGATCATGGTGGATTTACTTTTACTTTATCAGGCATAAAACCATATTTTCTACTTGAGTTTTAAATCGTAAGGGTAAAGCAGTAGGCTGACTCTATTCACGGTTAACCACCCTCAAAATAGAAGTGAATGTGAAACCACAGATATTTTATTGAAACATATCTGAAGATAAAAATATAGCTCAAGCTTCACAGATATAGGACTTCTGAGCTGAGAGGTCAGTTGGTAGATAGCTGGAGTTATACTAAAAAGGGTTGATGACTTTTCTGTGCAGCTACAAATTATTTTACTTGCTCCTATTTCACCTCCCAGACATATTGCCTGCCCTAAGCACCAGGCTGGACACACTGGGAAACAGGCTGGCCACATGGGCTCCCAGGCCTTCAACCCAGGACGTCAGCATGGCTACCTAGTCTCACCAGCTTACCGAGCTGGCATTCCTGTTCAAAGTCAGCCAGGTAGACCTGCAAGGGTACCATGGATGCCAGCACCACCACCACTATTAAACGGTCCACCTGGATTGGAATACTTAAGTCAGGTAATTTCAAATACATAAAATACTCAGGAAAAAAAAAAAAAACAACAACTCTTGTTTCCAGTTTACTAACCATAGTAATTATAGTTTAAATAATTACTTATTTATTTACTCTTTATTAATTAAAGTCAGAAATGGTAAACAATACATTCTGTCAACAAATCACTAGTTTTTTTGGGTTCGGTTCATTTTAAAATAAAAATAAGAATGTCACAGGTGCCGGGCGCGGTGGCTCAAGCCTGTCATCCCAGCACTTTGGGAGGCCGAGGCGGGTGGATCACGAGGTCAAGAGATCGAGACCATCCTGGTCAACATGGTGAAACCCCGTCTCTACTAAAAAATACAAAAAATTAGCTGGGCATGGTGGCTCATGCCTGTAATCCCAGCTACTCAGGAGGCTGAGGCAGGAGAATTGCCTGAACCCAGGAGGCGGAGGTTGCGGTGAGCCGAGATCGCGCCATTGCACTCCAGCCTGGGTAACAAGAGCGAAACTCCACCTCAAAAAAAAAAAAAAAAAAGAATGTCACAGGTAATTCTTTTCTATGATCTTGAATATAATGTGATAATAATCCAAAGTAAACATTTATTAAGCACATTTTCTAGGTTTTATTATAAGCATAATACATATATTACTTCACTTAATCCTTACAGAATCTCTACGATGTACAAGTGCTATAATTTTCACCACCTTACACAAGAGGAAACAGAGGTGCAGAGCAGTTTTATAACTTCTCTGGATTAAAAACCTAATGAACTGGGGCTGATACCTTGATTCTGGATTCTGTGCTTTTTAATTCCAATATTGACTAATTTTCTTGACATTTAAAAGAGATGTAGTAAAGTTTAGAGTTAAGTTTTAGTAAGTAGTACCAAAAATTACTTCATATTTTTGTGTGGAATTTGACTCATCTTTTTTTTACAATTGGTAAAATTACATTTTTTCATGCTTTTTTCCTTTGGAAGACCCAATTTTACAAATGTCACCAATGAGGAAAAAAAAAAAGTCCTGAGTTTTGCTGTACTACATAATAGCTTACCTCAGCAAAGTGAGATTTAATAATTTGTTTTGTCTTAGAGATCAGGTTGGTAAAATAGAAATGTATAGTTTTGTATCTCTAATCTATAAACAAATATTTCTATGATAATCAATGAGTTTTCTGTAAATGAATTATATCTCTTGTACTCTCTATAACTTAATTTTCCACAATGTACTTGCACAGTGAATATTGTAAGAATGTTTAGTAGTTGATATTTCTCCAAGAAATGCCCTACAGAGTTTTTTAAAATCAGTCTCAAAACATATATAGAAGAAATTACTACTTACTGCAAAATGATTATATGAAGTAGACATAAAATGAATAACTGAGACTTATGAAAAAAACTTACTTAAATTGATAAAATAATGTCTTTATATTTTTAAGCCTCATTTAGAAAGAACATTGTTTTCTTTTATAAGGATTTCACTATATTAGTTTATTTTACCTAAATTTACAACATTCATAGTGAATGCTTTCAATAAACATATAGCATTTTTAATTAAAACTATGTTAACTTTAGTTTTACAATAAAAAGTAACAAATTCTTACTAAAATTTGATAATGATAGTTGATAACTGATCATATGCAGTATTAATAAAATATGAATATTAATTGGTTTTCTATAAAACATTTGACTTACAACTTAATTTTCTTTTTGCTATAATAGATAGATACGATACTGATTAATCAGCAAATTGAACCTGTGGAAGGTATGTATTAATTGTATTTCTCATATTTCTAAAAAGAGAAGTTTATGCAAATAAAGATAGATTAAAAACTATAAATATAGCATTCTGAATGATGTGGAATGGCAAACCTGATTATTTACGAATGTCTGTCTTCACAGTAGTGAAATCAGTAGTCTGTTTGTGAATATTAAAAGTCAAATGGTAAAATACAATTGGCCCCTCCTATCTGTGGGTTCCACCTGCGTGAATTCAATCACTCAAGGATCAAAAATACAGTTTTAGAAAGTGTACCTGTTCTGAGGATTTACAGACTTCTTTTTCCTTGTCACTATTTCCTAAAAAGTTCAATATAACAAACTCTTTACATAGCCTTTACCTTGTCTTTGTGTATTGTAAGTAATCTAGAGATGATTTAAATAATACAGGAGGAGGTTCATAAATTATATGCAAACCCCACGCCATTTTATATCAGGGATTTGAGCAGACTAGGATTTTGGTATTCACAGGCAGTCCTAGAACCAATCTCCCATGGATACGGTGGGATGACTGCACTATTATGATAAGCATCTTCCCTAATGTTATAAACTTTAACATAGAAGGAATATAGCCAAGATTTACTTTTGCTCCCTTCTCCTACAAATAACTTTAATGGATTCAATCACTTTACCTGACTTCTAGCATTTCAGCTCTTTTCTCTCCAATTTGTTATCACCTTGAGAATGGCACAGAGCCACATCCAATATTTTCGTTACCTTGTACATTTCCAAGTGAGTAAACTTTTAGAATTTGGGTGGGAGTGTTTTGGAAAATTGTTCCTGCCCACAGTTTCTCTTGGGAGTTCAGATAAACACGTTTTCCTGATCAACTCTAAATAGCATTGCTTTTCATTATTCCTATGATACTTGGAGCATCATCTAAAACTAGATAGGTATTATAATATCTTAAGGTAGTTTCAATAATTTTAACATAAAGGTGACTAATTTTATTTTCATTTATAGTCCTACTCCGTTTTGAAAGTAATAATAAGTATGAAATCAAGAACAGCTTTGGGCAGAGGATTTATTTTGCAGCAGAAGATAGTCATTTCTGTAGCCGAAATTGCTGTGGGCCATCTAGACCTTTTACCTTGAGGATTACTGATAATCTGGGTCAAGAAGTCATAACTGTGGAAAGACCACTAAGATGTAGCAGTTGTTGTTGCCCCTGCTGCCTTCAGGAGGTATGTGAGCAATTGCTAGAGCCTTTTGTAAAGTAGTTCAGCAAGAATGTCCATCCTTTCATTGAATCTGTGTAATCAGATGAGATTTAAAGGAAAATGGCTCCATCAGCTGTATGTTTGGGCTTCCAAATCAATTGTATAAGAAGGAAGGCAAATAAACAACAGGGGATGGTTAGCCTTATGTCCTGCAGCAGTCTGCCTTGTGGGGTTGAGCAATGGTCAGAGATGAGAATTCTTGATATTCAAGGAAAGGTCAGATAGGCACCTTTTTCAGATAATTTTTTAAGAAATGATTGTAAGAGACATGGTCAAAACCAGCAGAGTTGCACCATTGAAAATATCCTAAAATAGCATTCTGGGATCATAGGGACAAAAAGAATGAAGCAAAGAACAGATGTGTGCATCTCATAATTTTGGCCAACCTACTAAGGGACAAACCTAGGAAAAAGTTTTATCTCCTATGTATTTCATTTCTCCTTTTCACAGTAATAACTTATATATCTGTGTCATCTGCAATAGGGATAGCCTAAATGAGAGTATCTTCAGCTCTGTAGAGACCAGATCTCTCTGTTTCATATTACATGGCAGCCTACTCCTAGAGATTATGAATTTCAGGGAAGACATTAGGGTTCAGAGATGTTATAGAAAAGTTGGTCATTTCCAGGATCCCATTGGCCCAACACCGTATCTGCCTGGGTAACTTAGCCTTCCATACAGGTTGCTGTGAGAACATAATACAATTAGAGATAAAGGCATGTAGTTATTTAAAGTCTAATACTGCACTTATTTTGAGAGGATAAATGAAGTTACTTATAATGAACTGGTTTGTTTTCCATACCATTTAGGTTAGGTATAATTATATATTTATAAGAATATGAGGAAAAACTGAGTTTGATGGGAAATGCTTTATAATTTGAATATCACATTAACATGCATTACACTATTTGATCTTTTAAAAAATTCCTAGGAAGTCCTTACTTGCAATGTCCGGCAATTATGAAATGGTCAGTAAATGAGAGCTATTATTAGATAGGTTTATGATGATTTATTACAGTCACGCATATTCTTTTACTTTTGTAGATAGAAATCCAAGCTCCTCCTGGTGTACCAATAGGTTATGTTACTCAGACCTGGTACCCATATCTAAAAAAGTTTACAATTCAAAATCAGAAAGGAGAGGATGTACTAAAAATGAGTGGTCCATGTATTATGTGCAGCTGTTGTGGCGGAGATGTTGATTTTGAGGTAAGAGATGTCATAATGTTTATGGGATTTGCTTTCCTAATATAAGAATATAATTTTGCAGAATTTTATGAATGCCTTAAATTAGTATTGTGTACTGATGTCTCAATAGCAAGATAATGTTCCCATACATTTAACTTTGATCAGAGTGGAGGTTATTACTGTCTAAAGGTCAGTATTGATAATGCTAAATGGATAAAAAGAGAAGCAGAGCTCTGTAGTCAAATAAAAATAAGCAAATCATCTAACACTTAAGCATGTTAGTTTCTGTGTGGTCACACTATATATTATCCATTATAAATAAAACTTTAATCATCTAAGTCTGATTGGCAAAGCATATGGATCCTTCCTTAATCTGAAATATAGCCTGCCAGTGCTCCAGGCCATGTCCAGAAGGTCTGACATCTTTGAGTTCCTACAAAAAGCCCAATTATGCAAAGATAGTTTTGAGAAAGTCAGTGTAATATGTATTACCCAATTGTACTTCTCTGTGGTCTCTTCTTTAACCCTGTATTAAATTAGGTCATTGGAAACCATAATTTATCTCTATATTTAATTCCTGCATGAATTTCATTACAGCAGTTCTCCAACAGATAGCCTAGACTTATAATCAAATTATTTAGTTGCAAATGTTTATCAGAAGGTTTTATAACTTAATCTTGATTTCCTGATTCTCTTAGAAAAACAGACAATTTGGTAAACTGGGCCCATATTTCCACAGAATGAGGAAAAAATAATCCTAAAGTTGAGAAGGGCTACCTCACATATGATTAGATGTGGGAACTCTGACAGTGTCTCCATATCTTCCTAAGGTTCTGCATTATCCAGTTTCATTTTCTTGCATCCTTTCTTCTCTAATAATATAGTTTTTAATTCCTCTATTAAAATTTAGTTATATAAAAATGAATTCTTCCCTTTTTCAACTTCATAATCTGATGACAGAGACGGGCAACTCTAAGAAAACACGTGTTGTAGAGACTTTAAAATGCTTTTTTAAAGGGATACATATATGTATATAAAATATATGATTATATATAGTATATGCATATATACTATGCATATGTGCATGTGGGTATATATGGGTGTGTGGGTATGGGAACATGTAATACGTATGTACAGGAACCTTATGTAGGGACATGTATAATAATAGCTCTCTTTTTATGCACATAAAAATCCAGACAAGTGAAAGATTGTTTCTTCTTCTAGAAATGATATTAATAAAAGTATAATTGGAATATAATGTATTCCTACGAAATGAATAAAACACTAAAAAATTGTGAAACATTCATATTTAATACTAAAAAATTATATTTCATTCAGCAGCTCTTCAGTTCTCTATGTCTACAGATACCAGATTCTAAGAGTAACTAATAGTCATATGATTAGAGAAGGCAAAAAAAAAAATGCATATAGTAAATTTTATACAAATGCTCAGTTTGTAATTTAAAAGTACCTTTTCAGTAACCATTCATAAATTATATGTTTTGAATTATGTAGCTGCTCTAGTATCTTACACATTATCTTAATGTAGTCTTTTGGTATTTACCTAGGTTCTATGTGCAAGTGGCCTATTTGCATGTTTTGCATTTACATTGCAAATAAACATTTAGTTTTCTTTTTAGACTATCTTTACCAATTATTAGTATTAAATTTACAGATTTATAAATTTTATGCTAATATGATACACTACAATTCTTTTTTAAACTCATACGTCTGATAACAAATGTGTAGTTATTTTTTCCCCGTATCAACCAATTCTCCTTCTCTACAGACATCAACTGGGTTCCCTACAATTCAAGTTTAATTCTGACACTCACTCACCTGGAGTTAATGCAGACACCACAAGTTAAGTCCCACAAAACTGTTCCCTATTTCAAACTCCAACCACAAATGCAAGACCTCCTGTACACCTAACCAACTGTCTATAAATCAGGGTTCTCACAACCTTCTCCACAGGTTTGACAATTTTTTAAAACTATTTACAAAATTAAGGAACACACTTTATTTATGTTTACTATAAAAGATACAGAATGAGTTCTGGAAAGGTCCTGAGCAAAATGGGATCTGTCCCTGTGGAACTGGGGTAACCCACCTTCATGGCACGTGAGTTCACCAATCCAGAAAGTCTCTGAACCTGTTGTTTAGAGTTCTTAGGAACTTTCATTATGTAGGCATGATTGATTTAAGCCATTGGCTATTGGTAAATAACTCCAACTGCAGCCTTACTGTCACCTCTGAAGGATGGAGAAAGGACTGAATGATTCAATCCTCTAAACGTTGCTTGGTTTTTCTGGTGTCCAGCCTGATACTAAAGATATCAGGAATTCCAACCACCAGTCAGTTTAGTAAACAAAAGATGTATTGCCCAGAAGATTCTAAGGATTTTGAAGCTATGTGTCAGGAATCTGGGACAAAGACCAAATATTAAAATAAGACTCAGGCCAGGCCTGTAATCCCAGCACTTTGGGGGGCTGAGGTGGGTGTATGACAAGGTCAAGAGATTGAGACCATCCTGGCTAACATGGTAAACCCTGTCTCTACTAAAAATACAAAAATTAGTTGGGCATGGTGGTGCACACCTGTAGTCCCAGCTACTCGGGAGGCTGAGGCAGGAGAATCGCTTGAGCCCATGAGGCAGAGGTTGCAGTGAGCCGATATTGTACCACTGACTTCAGCCTGGCACAAAGCAAGACTCCATCTCAAACAAAACAAAACAAAACAAAACAAAACAAAACAAAACAAACACTCTCCTATCACCCCTATCACTGAGAAAGTTATGAGAGTTTTAAAAATTCTGTGTCAGGAAACAGGGAATAAAACCTAAATGTATACTTCTTACGATGTTATAAATACCAACATGTTACTTCTTAAGGTTGAAGTAATTTTACTGTATTTTTTGTTTTGTTTTTAAAATGTCATACAGAATTTAGCTAAAACTGTCTAGACTTTATAACTTTTTCATAAAAATTACCTGGACTTTGTAATGACCTGTATATGTAGGTCATTATTTATATTTCTAATCCTCCATTAAAATTTTATTTTCTAGTTGTATAAATTTGGTGAATTTTTAAATTTCTTGTTATAGCAATCAAGATGGAGAAATATTTGTTAAATCTAGTAATAGTTTTATGGTAGCTAGCAAGTTACCCTCAGTATTTTTTACTTTGTAAATATTTTAAAATTCAAATACATTTTTAAACAAAAATATAAAGTTTTCATTATTAGTCTCAAATGCTTAGATGATACGTGTTCACTATGGATATGTGTAACAGAGGGTAGCTAGGCCATGCTTTTCTAGTGACTATTTACCTAAGACCAAGAGCCAGACCAAACCACTTACCCATATGTAAGGTCACTGCCCATGTTATAGCTGCTAATATTCCATAGGTCAAACATGCCACAAGGCAGAGCCTAATTATGAAGAAAGAGGAAAATGCTTAAGGTTACAATGGGAGGGAAAATGTAATAAATATTTGATGAAGAGTAATGCATAGCAATCACAGTTTTATGTTAGACATTTATTTCACTTTTTTAAAAGATCCTACTCACCAACACTCAAAATGAATCAACTGTTTTTAGTTTCCTCACATTTATCTAGCTGGTTACAGCTGGAGGCAATGGATTCAAAAGGTGTTGCTGACAAATGTGACCTGTATATGTAGGTCATTATTTATATTTCTGAACCTGTGTTCAAATTTGAAATGACATTCCTGACTTGGGTTGACATAACTCTTACATGTACTTTGGTGAATGTTAGCTACATTCAGCCACTACCTGCACACCTGGCTAGGTGTTTTTGTCTGAGCACACTGCTTTCAACTCTTTATGATGACCCTCAGCTATCTTCGGCAGAATTTTTACAATTTTTTTTTTTTACAAAAATAGAAAAGTTTTACATTGGAGATCTTTTCTACCTATGCTTTTTTATTCTTCACACCCAACTAGTTACCTGGTCTTGCCCACACCCTTGGCTTGAGGCATCCCATCAAGTTACTTACCAGTTGCTTTTCTTCACTCAAAACTGTTAGTCTTTTTTTGTAGGTTCTTAGCATTTTATGTTTTCCTACTGACAGTGGGTAGTAGTGAGGCCTCTCTTCATATTTAAATATTCAGCTGTGTACACTCTCTGTGCTTCTCTAAAAAGCAGAAGTCTAATAGGAGTTTCGTTTAATTCCTCCTGATGGCTTCTAGAAATTATATCAAAGAAACTTTTCAAATTTATATCATTTTCAGCTTAAATTTTGTTTTTGGTCAACTGAAATAATTAAGACGTATATTTATATCTATCTTAATATAAAATAGAAAATGGTTAAAATTTTAGTAAAACTACTTTTATATAAGTTTTCTATACAACAGAACCATATATAACTATGAATATTTAGGACCCTATATGTATCTAACATCACATATTAATTATATGTTCATAATTATGTATGATGCATAAATGTAATATAATAATTGCTTTATTTTACTCTAACTTTAAAAGTACTTTTGCTACAAGTTTCCTAGAAATGTTTAAGTTTTTTTTTTTCTTTTTTGCAATTTAGATTACATCTCTTGATGAACAAATTGTGGTTGGCAGGATTTCTAAGCACTGGACTGGGATTTTAAGAGAGGCATTTACAGATGCTGACAACTTTGGGATCTATTTCCCTAGAAACCTTGATGTTAAAATGAAAGCCGTGCTGATTGGTGCCTGTTTCCTCATTGTAAGTCTGCTCCTGCTAATCTTGGTTACAGATGGCTTCTCTAGGAGCATTCTGAAATAATTCAATAAATTATACATTTTAAGATTACCATTTAAAATGTAAAGGTTTTATAAAATGTTCCTATTTAATCCCAGCTCTGGAATTTTATAGGTGATTAGTTTATGTCTGAAGAGTCTACATACTTTGAAATGGCAAGAGAATAACTTTATATTCTAAGGAGAACTTCTGGTTTGAGGGAAGGTTATTAAAAAATCAAATATGTTATTAGGAGAAAAATGTAAAGCTAGTCTTACATGGTATAAAACTCAGTGAAACACAGAAGTTTCATCCTGACTCATTAAATTAAGACATCTAACATGCGATTATAAAGTACAGTAAGAGTATACATTCGATCAAGCCTCTAGACCTATCAGTTTATAGGAAATACATAGGGTAAAGCAGTGATTCTGAATGTCTCTTTAGAATTATCTAGAAACTTTTACAAAACTCTCAAGTATCAGGCCATTCCCCACTTCAACTAAACAAGAAGTTCAGAGTCAGAAATGTGTATAGTGCCCCAGCTGATATGAATATGCAGCCGAAGTTGAGGTTTATAGAAACAGAGTACTGTAATGCTCTTCAACCTTAGCTACACACTAGAAACACCTGGGTAACTTTCAAACTCCTCACATCCAGATTGCATCCAAATTTATTAAACCAAATTCTCTGGAGTTAGGACAAAGTCTTCAAGCTGTTTAAAGCTCCCAGATGATTCTGATATGTAATCAAAGTTTGAGATGCCAGATATCTTAAACATGAGCTTGGTGATGTAATCAGAAAACCTTAACAGATAATGTACGGCAAAAAGGACCCAGCTCTTTCAACAAATAAGTGGCAATGAAAATAACAGAATAAAGATTAAACAGGGGAGGCCGAAGAAGATGGCTCTTGGAATTATTGCCACTCTAAATTGAACAACTGTCCACATAACAAAAAGCAATTTCCTAAGAACTAAAAATCAGTCACATGATCATTGTACCTGGTTTAAAGATTATATTAAGAAAGGAGGCACTGAGGAGGGTAGGAAAAACAGTCTTAAATTGCCTAACCCCCTCCTCTTTCGTACCTGGCAGTGGATACCTGGTGGAGAGAGAATCTGTATGTTGGAGGAGGGAGAACACAGTGATTGTGGGACTTTGCATTGGAACTCTGTGCTTCCCTGTCATAGTAGAAAGTAACATGAGGCATGGCACCCAGGGAGACAGCATTTAAATTAGCCTTAGCCAGAGGGGCATTGGCCATCCCAGCATTCACAACCTGAGTTTTGGCAAACCTTGCTACCATGAACTAAAGTGCTCTGTGATTCTAAATAAACTTGAAAGGCACTCTAAGCCACAAGAACCACAATTCCAAGGCAAGTCCCGGTGTTGTGCTGTGCTGGACCTGGAACCACTAGATTTATGGTACATGCAACCTAGTGAGACATCAGCCAGGGCAGCCAAAGGAGTGCTTGCATTACCCCTCCCCCAATTCCAGGCAGCACAGCTAGCCCCTCCAGTAGAGACTCCCTCCCTCTGTATGAAGAGAGGGGAGGAGACAGTAAAGAGGTCTTTTTCTTGCAACTTAAATACCATTCAACTACAGAAGAATAGGGCACCACTCACCTACAGTAGAATAGGACAATAAACAGAGTCCTGAGGGCCCTATTACAACCATAGCACCCAGGTAATGTTTCTAAATATGCTGCAGATCAGAAGGGAACTCCTTGCCTTGAAGGGAAGGACCCAGTCCTGCTAGGATTTATCACCTGCTGACTAAAGAACAATTGGGTCCTAATATCTGTCTTATTGGTAGCAAGGTAGTACTTGCCATGGGCATTAGGGAAGACTCTGAGATATGCTTGCTTCAGGTGTGCCCATCACATTCCCAGCTGTGGTGGATATGGGGCGATAACTCTCCTACTTGAGGAAAGGAAAGGGAAGAGGAGAGAAGATTTTGCATTGCAGCTTGTATACCAGCCTGGCCACAGTGGGAGAGAATACCAAGTGGCCTCTAGAGTCCATGATTCCAGGCTGTGGCTCCTGGATGGCATTTATGGACCTATGCTGGACCAGAGGGGAGCCCACTGCCATGAAGGGAGGTATTCAGGACTGGCACAGTTTACCACAAGCTGACTAAAGAGCTCTTGGGCCTTGATTGAACGTCAGTGCTAGCTACCTAGTACTTAACATCAGTGGTAGCTACACAGTGTGCACTGTGGGTCTGGGGTGGTGGTGGGCAAGGGGAAAGACACTTTTTCTTAAGAAAATGGGAGGAAAGAATGGGAAGAATTTTACATTGCAACTTGGGTTCTAGCTCAGCCACAGAATCAAGCACCAAGTAGATCCCCAAGGTTCCCAACTCCAGGCCAAGGCTCCTAGACAGCATCTCTGGACCTACCCAGGACTAGGGGGAACTTGATGCCCTGAAAGGAAGGATACAAGCCTGACTGGATTTGATACTTGCCAATAGTAGAGCTCTTGGTACTTGAGTAAACATAGGTAGTAGCCAGGTAGTGGTCACTGCAGAACTTAGACAAGAACTAGTGCTGTGCTAGCTTTGAGTCTGACTCAATGAAGTTCCAGTGGTGGTGGTCACAGGTGTTTTTGTGTCACTCTTCCCCCCAGATCTAGGCAGCTCAGCACAGAAAAACTACCTTTGTTGGGGGAAAGTCAGGGAAGAGAACGAGAGTCTGCCTGTTATTGCAGATATTGCTTCTGGATCTTAATACTGCCAAGGGATTACCTCTGTGAGTCTCTAAGAGCCACAGAATTACTGGGCTTGGGGTATCCACTAAAGTATATATGGCTGCAGTAATGAAAAACTTAGATCAAACACCCAAGTCCTTTTGAATGCCTAGAAAGCCTTCCCAAGAAGGACAGGTACAAACAAGCCCAGAATGCAAAGACTGCAATAAACACCTAACTCATCAATACCCAAACACAAATTAACATCCACAAACATCAAGACCGTCCAGGAAAACATGACCTCACCAAATGAACTAAATAAGGCACCAGGGGCCAGTCACAGAGAGACACAGATATGTGAACTTAGGGACCGTAAATTCCTAATAGTTGCTTTGAGGACACTCAACAAAATATAAGTTAACATAGAGGAGAAATTCTGAATCCTATCAGATAACTTTAACAAATAGATTGAAATAGCTAAAAAGAATCAAGCAGAAATTCTGGAGTTGAATAATGCAATTGATGTATTGAAGAATGCATCAGAATCTCTAAACAGTAGAGCTGATGGAGCAGAAGAATGAATCAGTGGGCTTGAAGACAGGATATTTTAAAATACAGTCAGAGGAGCCAAAAAATACAAATAAAAATCAATGAAGCTTGCCTAAAAGCTCAAATCAGAAAATAGCCTCAAAAGGGCAAATCTAAGAGTTATTTGTCCTAAAGAGGAGGTAGAGAAAGAGACAAGGGTAGAAAGTTTATTCAAGGGGATATTAACAGAGAACTTTCCACACCTATAGAAATATATAAATATTTAAATACAGGAAGGTTATAGAGCTCCAATCATATTTAATCCAAAGAAAACTACCTTAAGGCATTTAATACTCAAACTCCCAAATGTTAATGATAAAGAAAGGTTACTAAAAGCAAGAGAAAAAAAAACCCGAATAATATAAAAGCAAGCTCCAATACATCTGGCAGCAGACTTCTCAGGCCAGAACAGAGTGGCTTTACATATTTAAAGTGCTAAAGGAAAAAAAAAACTTTTATCATAGAGTAGTATATTCAACAAAATTATCTTTCAAACATGAAAAAGAAATAAAGACTTTTCCAGGCAAACAAAAGCTGAGGAATTTCATTAATACTAGACCTGTCCTACAAGAAATGCTAAAGAGAGTTCTTCAATCTGAAAGTATACATTAACAAGCAACAAGAAATTATCTGAAGGTATAAAACTCGCTAGTAAGTATACAGATAAACACAGAATATTATAACACTGTGATTATAGTATGCAAACTAGTCAGATGTTAAGTAGATGATGAACCTATTAAAAATAAAAACCACAACAAATGTTTAAGCCATAGACAGTATTCTAACATACAAATAGAAACAACAACAATTTGAAAGTGGGAGGGTGAAATTAAAGTGTAGAGTTTTTAGTACTTTTCTCTTTGTTTGTTTATGTAGTGTTAGGTGTCCATGGGTTTAAAATAGTGAGTTGTAAGATTTTATCTGCCAGCCTTAGAGTAATCTGAAATCAAGAACATAGAAAAGATATATACAAAATCAAAAGCAAGAAATTAAGACACGCCACCAGAGAAGATAACTTTCTCTAAAAGAGAACAACAAGAATGAAGGAAAGAAGGAAGAGAAGATCACAAAAAAACCCAGAAAACAAATAACAAAATGTCAGGAGTAAGTCTTTACTTATCATTAATGATATTGAATATAAATGGACTAAACTCTCCAATCAAAAGACATAGGATGATTTAATGGAGAAAAACTAAACAAAATGAAAACAAGACCCAATAATCTGTTTCCCTCAAGAAATACACTTCACCTATAAAGACACACATAGACTGAAAATAGAAATTGAAAAATATTCGATGAAAATGAAGAGCAGGAGTAGCTGCACCTATATTATACAATATAGATTTCAAGACAAAAACTATGAAAATAAACAACAAAGTCATTATGTAATGATGCAAGGGTCAATTTTGCAAGAAGATACAACAATTGTAAATATATATGCACCCAATACTGGAGCACCCAGTAATAGAAAGCAAATATTATTAGAGGCAAAGGGAGAGAGAGACCCCAATACAATAAAAACTGTGGACTATTTCAACACCCTACTTTCAGCATTGGACAGACCTTCCAGACTGATAATCAACAACAACAACAACAACAACAACAACAAACCCACATCAAATTGGATCTGCACTATAAACCAAATGGACCCAATAGATATTTACAGAACATTTCATCCAGTGGTTACAGACTACACATTTGTCTCCTTAGCATATGGCTCATTCTCAAAACTATGTTAGGCCACAAAAAAGTATTAAAGATTCTTTAAAAAATGAAATTATATTAAATATCTCCTCTAAACACAATGGAATAAAACTAGAAATCAGTAAGAGGAATTTTGGAAACTATACAAACACATAGAAATTAAACAATATGCTTGTAAATGACTAGTGGGTAATAAAGAAACTAAGAAGGTGATTGAAAAGTTAATTGAAACAAATGATAATGGAAACAGAACATACCAAAAGCTATGGGACACAGCAAAAGCAGTACTAAGAAGAATGTTTATAGAATTAAGCACCCGATTCACTCTAATGACTGTTTCTTTTGCCGTGTAGAAGCTGTGGCATTTGATTAGGTCCCATTTGTCTATTTTGGCTTTTGTTGCCAATGCTTTTGGTGTTTTGGTCATGAAGTCCTTGCCTATGCCTATGTCCTGAATGGTTTTGCCTAGATTTTCTTCTAGGGTTTTTATGGTGTTAGGTCTTATGTTTAAGTCTTTAATCCATCTGGAGTTAATTTTAGTGTAAGGTATCAGGAAGGGGTCCAGTTTCTGCTTTCTGCACATGGCTAGCCAGTTTTCCCAACACCATTTATTAAACAAGGAATCCTTTCCCGATTGCTTGTTTTTTCCAGGTTTGTCAAAGATTGGTTGGTTGTAGATATGTTGTGCTGCCTCTGAGGCCTCTGTTCTGTTCCATTGGTCTATATCTCTGTTTTGGTACCAGTACCATGCTGTTTTGGTACTGTAGCCTTGTAGCATAGTTTGAAGTCTGGTAGCGTGGTGCTTCCTGCTTTGTTCTTTTTGCTTAGAATTGACTTGGCTATGCGGGCTCTCTTTTGGTTCCATATGAAGTTTAAGGTGTTTTTTTCCAGTTCTGTGAAGAAGGTCATTGGTAGCTTGATGGGAATAGCGTTGAATCTGTAAATTACTTTGGCTGGTATGGCCATTTTCACAATATTGTTTCTTTCTAACTATGAACATGGAATGTTTCTCCATCTGTTTGTGTCCTCTCTGGTCATTAGAGAAATGCAAATCAAAACTACAGAGATACCATCTCATGCCAGTTAGAATGGTGATCATTAAAAAACCTGGAGACAACAGATGCTGGAGAGGATGTGGAGAAATAGGAACACTTTTACACTGTTGTTGGGAGTGTAAATTAGTTCAACCATTGTGGAAGACAATGTAGCGATTCCTTAAGGACCTAGAAATAGAAATTCCATTTGACCCAGCAATCCCATTACTGGGTATATATCCAAAGGAATATAAATCGTTCTACTATAAGGACACATGCACATGAATGTTCATTGCAGCACTGTTTACAATAGTAAAGACCTGGAACCAACCCAAATGCCCATCAATGATAGACTGGACATGGAAAATGTGGTACATATACACCATGGAATATTATGCAGCCATCAAAAACGATGAGTTCGTGTCCTTTGTAGGGACATGGATGAACCTGGAAGCCATCATTCTCAGCACACTGACACAAGAGCAGAAAATCGGACACTGCATGTTTTCACTCATAGGTGGGTGTTGAACAATGAGAACACATGGACACAAGGAGGGGAGCACTACACACTGGGGTCTGTTGGGGGAAAATGGGGGAGGGATGAGGGGTGGGGAGTTGGGGAGAGAGAGCATGGGGAGAAATGCCAGATATAGGTGAAGGGGAGGAAGGCAGCAAACCACACTGCCATGTGTGTACCTATGCAGCAATCTTGCATGTTCTTCACGTGTACCCCAAAACCTAAAATGCATTAAAAAAAAAGAATTAAGCACCCATATCAATAAAAGTAGAAAAAGTTCAAATAAATAATCTGACAATGAATCTTAAAGGGCTAGAAAATCAAGAGCAAATCAAAATCAAAATTAGTTGGAGAAAAATAATAAAGTTCAGAGCAAAAAAATTGAAATTTTAAAAATATAAAAGATTAACAAAGTAAAAATTGTTCTTTGGAGAGAGAAAATCAACAAACCTTTAGCCTGATCAACTAAGAAAACAGAGAAAAGACCCAAATAAATAACATCAGAGATGAAAAAGGAGACACTTTGATACTGCAGAAATTCAAAGGATCATTAAAGAAGACTTTCACCAACTATATGCCAATAAATTGGAAAACCTAAAATAAATGGATAAATTCCTAGACACATATTATCTACCAAGATCTAACCATGAAGAAATCTAAAATCTCAACAGACAATAAATAATGAGATCAAAGCTGTAGTAAAAAGTCACCTAGCAAAGAAAAGCTTAGGAACTGATGGCTTCAGTGCTGAATTTTACCAAACATTTAAATATCAATCTTGCTCAAGCTACTGAAAAATAGAGTGGGAGGGAATACATGCAAACTTATTCAGTGAAGCTAGTACTACCATAATACCAAATCCAAACAAAGACATATTTTTAAAAACTACAGGTGCATCTCCCTGATGAACACTGATCCAAAAATCCTTAACAAAATACTAGCAAGTCAAATTCAACAATACATCAAAAAGATCATTCATCATGACTGAGTGGGATTTATCCCAGAGAAACAAAAATGGTTCAACATACGTTTTGGATATAGTCACTTATCAGGTACATGGTTTGCAAATATTTTCCCCAGTCTGTGGGCTGTCTCCTCACTGTGTTCATTGCTTCCTTTGCTGTGTGCAGAAGCTTATTAACTTGAGGCCATTCCCTTTGTCTCTCTTTGTTTTTGCTGTCTGTGCTTTTTAAGTCATACCAAATAAATCATTTCTCAAGCCAATGTCATGGAGAATTCCCCCGTATTTTTTTCTAGTTGTTTTACAATTTCAGGTTTTACATTTAAGTCTTTAATCCATTTAAATTTGAGTCTTGTATATGGTGTTTAATAAAGGTCAAATTCCATTCTTCTGCATGTATATTTAGTCTTCAAAACACTATTATTTAAGGTTACTATCCTTTCCTCATTGTGTGGTAGTGGTACCTTTGTCAAAAATCAATTGATTGTAAATGTTTGGGTTATTTCTGGGCTTTCTATTCTGTTTCATTGGTCAGTGTGTCTGCTTCTATGCCAGTACCAAGCTGTTCTGATTACTATATCTTTATAATAAATTTTGAAATCAGGTAGTGTGATGCCTCCTGCTTTGTTTCTGTTGCTAAAGGTTGCTTGGCTACTTGGGGTCTTTTGCGATTCCATACAAATATTACGATTTGTTTCTCTTTATCTGTGAAAAATTCATTGGTATTTTGAGAGGGATTACATTGAATCTGTAGTTCCCTTTCAGTAATATGGACATCTTGGCAATATTACTTATTCGAATCCAGAAACACAGAGTATCTTTCTATTTATTTGTGTCTTCTTTGATTTCTTTCATCAGTGTCTTATAGTTTTCAGCGTACAGAATGTTCACCTTTTTGGTTAAACGTATTCCTTAGTACTTAATACTTTTTGATGCTGTTGTAAATGGAACTTTTTTCTTAATTCATTGTACATGGAATGAATTCTAATTACGTGAAGAGTTATATTACTAGAAAAGGACTGTAAAACATTAAATAAGAAAGACTGAAAAAGGACGATTTCAAGGAGGATAAAAGTCACATTTATATAAATTATCGTAAGATTAATTAAGTTAATGCGGTGTCAATAAATGGAATTATAGAATTTAATTTCCATAAAAATAGCTGGAGGTAGAAATCTTATCTGTAGACTTCCCCACATTTACTTATTATAGTTAGTTTTTCTTGTTTAACAGACAATTAGCTTTGTTTCATCAGATCCCTTAGCATTTCTACATCTGAGAATTGATCTCTGCTTTCTGAGAACTCATTTCTGTGTATTTTTTTTTTTTAAATCTAGGACTACATGTTTTTTGAAGGAACTAGGAATTGACTGGAATGTCAGAGTGTCAGAGTGGATTAATGTAAGTCTCCCTAGAAAATTTGAAGTCCGTATATTGATTGGGATTATCTAAAAGAAAAATTCAGTGTTTTTTTCTTTGTTTATTTGAATTACTTATACCTGTGTAAGTTAAGCTGTGATGCTTGTAGCTCTAAGTATATAGTTTTACTTTTCAAATTCAAAAATTTATTTTATTTATCACTGGGTTATAAATGTTTTGTCCACTTTATTGGATTATTCTTTGTATATTTGGAGAAAATAATATAGGAAGTTTTAAATTGAGATACAAAACACTCTTTAAAAGACTACTTGAATTATAGTCTATGTTTCCAAAGCAAAAACTAAAGCCTTATTAAAGTAGTTTTAATGTATAATTATATTTTATTTTTTAAAACTAGTTAAATTTATTTTATATGTAAAATTATGCAAATACTAATATACTCATAAAACAACTTAAAAATGGACACAATTTCAGTTTCTTTTACCATACTAAATACTTAATATACGTATTCTCAAGTAAAAGTAAATGTGCATTTTTTAAAAATTTTCAGGAAAGCACACTATATTTGATTTATCCTACCAGCTAATCTAGTACTATAATGACTGTAATGACTGTAATGACTACATGAAATATTAGCAGTTTTTATGGTTTTCAGTGAATAAAGAAATACATGACTCTGTGACTTTATCCAAAAGACAGACTCATTCAAAAATTTGGTATTGTTATCACTTTTGAAGTTATTTATTACTACATGGAATGGTTAGCTTCTGTATTCTATCATTCCTAGAATATGTTAGTTATAAGATTAATCAGGTGTAAGTTAAATAAAAAATATGCGTATCTTTACAGAGCATACTTCATGTGTGGTCTTAGGTTATTTATGCCAAAAAATGAAATGCCTAAAGTAAAATTTATTGATAAATTTTTGCATATTTTATTTTTGTTATTAAAAAAACTGTGAATAATCCATTCAGGTGGCATTTTCGACCCTACACATTTACCTCCTATAAAACCACCTTTAAAAAGAGCACAGCAAAAAAAAAAATAAAAAAAAATAACTAAATCACTATTGGAAATAAAAACAAAATGAAATTACTTTCTTATAAAAATAAATGATTTATTTTTATTTGTTTTCAAATTTTAGGGATTTAATTTTCTAATTTTAATTTTGTATATATTAAGGATCTATAAATTTTTAAGGAAAAATTATATGGTAAGATATATATGAAAATCTACATAAGAACACAGAGATGTTTTCATTCCTTTTACTAGTTGCATAGTATGCCATTAAGTAGCTATGTCATAGCTTCTTCAAACAATTCCCTACAATTGGACTTTCATTTTCCTTGAAATTTTTTGCTATTCCAAGTAAGCTTTCATTAATAAACAGACATACATATTTTATATTTTTCTTAGTGCATATTTGGAAGTGATTTGAAAAGTGGATTATCTGTTCAAATTACCCTCCATAGAATTTATTTCTCTATGAATTCCCATCAGCAATTTAGAACAGTGTGCAGTTGCCCAGAGCCATTCAAGTATATATTATTCTATTTTTGTGTTGTGTCCGATATGTTATCCTGTCATAGTTTAAATTTTTGATTGTCTCACTTTCAATCAAATTCAGCATTAAAAAAAGGGGAAAGACATATAATATTTTGTAGTAAAATCTGTTTCAGTGTTGGAAACAAGGATTTCCACCTGTCAGAAACTTAAAGGCATTTGTAATCTGTTTTGTAGGGCAGATTGAATTGATAGAGGAGACAGCCAACCCACAGTTTACTTCATGCAAAGGAAAAGTGTGCTTAGGAAATAAGGGCATCCCTTTCATCTTCAGCAAACTTTTCCAACAGCCACTCTCCCCATAAATGTTATACCAGCAGAACTCTACCAAAGCCAATAGCCCCAAATGACAAATGTTGGATGAGAACATTGGTATGGCCAGTGGAGCTACAGAAAAAGCAATGTCTAGATGACTTCCCAGCAGCCTAAATAATTAATCAGATACCATTTTCCAATGATGAAGTATACTCAGGGAACTCACCTCTAGCATATGTTTAGTACAGAGAGTACGCCAAGTCAAGTGGAGGTATTTGTATGTGACTTTAGTTAGGCCAGTTAGAGAAGGGGAAGGCTTGCAAAGATGGCAGTCAGATGTAAAACCAACCCAACATGAGGATTAGAGGTACTGACATTATTTCTTTTATAGCCATATCTTACTTTCCTTTCTTCTCTCTCTGCATAGGATTCCGGATCTTTGGCTAGACAAAATAAAACTGTAACTGATCTATATGGTTCCTTCCCTCTTCTACTCTGCAAGAAAGACGTCAGGAAAAATTCGCACACTATCTGTGGAACTCATTTAAATTCAAATACTAGATAAATTTTTTTGGCATTGAATATTCACATAGAAAAATCATCAAACATCAACAATTATCAATTTAATAAAATACTAGGAATTGCAAAAAAGTCTTAATTTGAATCTTAGTGAGATTTGAGCAAATGGTGGTGTATTTGTTTCGGAAACAGACGTAGAGAAAAAAAGAACATTCTGTTGTGCCAAATTTTAATAAAATTGAAAAATATGAAGACCATATTTTAAAGTATGATGGAGGCACTGGAACAACAGATTGCATAAAGTAGATAACTAACACAATAAACTAAGAGATAGGTTTTGGAAATTCTCCCAGAAGTAAGATTAAACACTAAATGTAAAGAAAAAAGCTAAAACCTAGAGAATAGATATATCAATTTCAAGTCATGCACAATAAGAATTCCAGAAGCAGAAATCAGATGAAGGCAAGAGAATATATTTTTAATGTAAAGAAAATTTATTTGCAATCAAGACATAACTGTAGTTTTGAAGTTAATGGATTTGCTATAAAGCAGACAAAAATGAATGAAAATGATACACTTTTAAGGATTTTTTTTCAAAAAAACAATTATTAGATGCCTAAAATATGGCAGATGTTGTTAGGTAGTAATAGAATAGTTTCTGTGGCTTAACTTCCATGATATACCCACATTCTAGTTTACTATTGTTTCTACCTCACCTAGAGCATTTAATCAAATTTAGCACACTTTAACAGCAGCATTTAAAAGAACCAAAGGATTTAGAACATAAAGATGGGTTATATAAAAGTATTTTTGTCCTTGCCCCCCATTTTCCCGTACCCGCCTTTGAGTGGAGACCTTACTACTGCAGGAATTTTTTCATTCAGCATGATATGACTTATACAGATACGGTGTCTTAGACTCATTCCTAACAATGGCTCACTTTGCCCATCTTTCTTACCTTGAAAAAGCAAAGGAAACATATCACATCTCAGCACACCATTTTGCCCACCAACCTAAATTTTGGCCTCTAGATACCATTTTCCACTCAAAGCAACTGGGGTTGTTTTGAGAATAGTTGACCCCAGAATTTTGGTAGGGAAAGGTATAAGATAAGCTTTGTACAACTTGTAGAAAATCAAGGAGATTCTCAAGTATGAATGCTGGCATGTCAAAAGGATAAAGGAAGGAATGTGAAAGGGCTCTCACCAACAAAATCAGGAATATTATTACCTTCTGAATAAAATAGGATACAGTAAGTCCATACAGACATTCTTATAAGTAAATAAATTAAATAAAGATTTTATGAAGATCTTGATATACATGGTTTCAATTTATATTCCCCAAATTCTTTTAATTTCAGAGGGAAAATGCATAACATGTTATTGTCTAGCAGCCAACTCTATTAAAGTAAATTTAAAGTAAGATGATTAAAGTAATCATCATCAGTTATGGGATAAATTAAAATCAAGTACCACCTAATAGGATGCACTAAGACACAGCATCACATGGATCTTGATATATACAGGATAGAAGATAATAGAATCTTTTTTTTTTTAATGCTTGATGAGCTTGCCTGTTCTTGTGGTAAACCTTTTGGCCTGCGAATTGTGTTTATCTAGTCCATAACTTGGCTTACTTTCAAGTATGTTGTACAGTTATCTTTGTAGCACCCCAGGCTTCATATTCTTCTAGTGATAATGTCTGTTCAAGATGTAGGCTACTATGCCAGAGGGTTTTACCGCACGTTTGCTCCTCGGAGATAATCTCTATCTTGCAGCATTCTTAGCTGTAATTCACTGTTCTTTCCACTCAATTATTGTTAGTTGGTGGTGGGAGATGGGGGACAGAATATTCCCTGATGTTTTGGTTTAAGCCTCACTCTTAAGCCGGCACACCCCAATTCAATGTAATACTGAAGTCAGAGACTGTGGAGTCTTAGCCAACTTACTTCTTTAATCATGTCGTCATGTAGCAAGCATTCACTAAGAGGCCAGTGCTGGGTAAAAATCTGAGTTGTGTCTGGGTATGTTTATGTGAAGGGAGTTGTGGGATGGAGAAAAGAGAGCTGATAAAACTTTCAGGCAAAATATATAGAACAAGCAGACAAATCTAATGATTTTGGATAGAAACATATTAGAGTAAGAAAGTTCTGAGGAAGCTCCTTTCATGGCCCCTTGCCTTAAGTGGCTTAGTCAAGAGAAACTACTTAGAGTATTGTCTCTACTATTTTCCTAAGAGAGAAAGGGCATCCTTTACACAGCCCTTCCTTCTCTCACCCCTCGGCTCCCACGCCTGCGCTGGAAGTCAAGCATACTTGTCCTGAGTGGGAAGGCAATGAGGGAGAAGTTTCTTTTCCTGCTGTAGGAGGGCCTAAAACCCAAGATAGGAGAAGTTTGGGTGCTTGCCTCATGCTAGGACCTTGTGTCACTGTGGGGTGGTTGTGACAGTGAATGGAGGATCAGTGGGTATCCTTGACTGGGTGTAACATTGAGGAGGAGGAGTTGTGATGGTTGGGGTATGGAGCTGTGTTGTGCCTTGGGAAGGAATTTCTGGGTACATGGGTCAGTGGGGAAGGGGGAGAATAAAGAGGAAGGGAAAGAAAAAGCCTAAGAGATGTGACTGCCTGACCTGATCACCTCTTGGGAGGAAACTTGGGAATGGGGGAAAGTGAAAATGTAGACTGGAGACAAGGCTGAGGATAGGAACAAAAAAGAACACAGAAGCAGTTAAACTACAGAAAATCACTGTGTGGACTCTTGGCATCAAGTTAATTAGCATCTCTCTACAACTTAGATATAAAAGTTTTAGCTGAGTTTGGGCTCAAAAGGAGCTATTATAACATTAGTGTAATTAGAAAAAGCTCAATAGAGAATTGCTGCCATAATTTAAAGATAGAATGATTTAAAATGGTTCTTGGCACAATTATGAAGTGCTGCTGATGCTGTGAAGTGCCAGAAGAGTGCACAGAAGTTCTCTCCAAGTCCTGCCCTAATCCTGCCCTTGTTATTACCCACCATGCAATGGCTGCCTGACTTTCCTAACACCTTCCTGCACCTGGCCCTATCTCTTTCAAGCTCTCTATTTCTCCCTGTGCCTTAATTTTCCTCAATTTTCAATAATATAGTTGTCATTGATAATTGTATCTACCTGTATTAGTCTGTGTTGCTCCAAAAAATACCTTGGGTTGGGTAATTTATAAAGAAATAAAGGATTATTTGGTTTCCTTTTAGTCATGATAATCTCTCTACCAAGTGGTAGCTCCAGAGCCCTCTTTTATTCCTCTTCTGAAAATGCTTTTTCCTTCTCTCTACATGGCTAGGCTGCAAAATTTTATGCTTTGCTTCCATTTTAAATATAAATTTCAATCTTAAGTCATTTATTTGCTCCCACATCTAAGCATAGTCTATTAGAAGCAGCCAGGATAAATCTTGAATGCTTTGCTGCTCGGAAATTTCTTACACTGTTACCCTCAGTCATCATTCTTAAGTTCAACCTTCCACAAAGTCCAGGGACATGGACACAATGCAGCTAAGTTCTTTTCTAAGGCATAACAAGGGCGACCTTTGCTCCAGTTCCCAATAAATTCCTTTCCAATTAAAAACTTTCACTGTTTGTATTTCCATCAGCATTTTGGTCACAGTCACTTACCAAGTCCCTAAGGAGTTCCAGTCTTTCCCTTGTCTTCCTGTCTTCTTAGCAGCACTCCAAACTCTTGCCCCTTCCTTTTCCATGTGACATGCTAGTTCCCTTCACCTTTCATCTTGATTGTAAGCTTCCTGAGGCCTCACCAGAAGCAGATGCTGGCACTATGTTTCATGTGTATTCTGCAGAACCATGAGCCAAACAAATTTCCTTTTTTTTTTTTTTTTTTTTTGAGACGGAGTTTCGCTCTTGTTACCCAGGCTGGAGTGCAATGGTGCGATCTCGGCTCACCGCAACCTCCGCCTCCTGGGTTCAGGCAATTCTCCTGCCTCAGCCTCCTGAGTAGCTGGGATTATAGGCACGTGCCACCATGCCCAGCTAATTTTTTTTGTATTTTTAGTAGAGACAGGGTTTCACCATGTTGACCAGGTTGGTCTCGATCTCTCGACCTTGTGATCCACCTGCCTCGGCCTCCCAAAGTGCTGGGATTACAGGCTTAAGCCACCGCGCCTGGCCAAATTTCCTTTTTTAAATAAATTTCTCAGCCTCAGATATTCTTTTATAGCAATGCAAAATAAATAAATGCACTACCTCATAAGGTCAGTATGAAGATTTAGTGATCTAATGCAGGTCCAGGGACATGAGAAGTTTACTGCGGTAGTACAAACATAGAAAATAAAAAGAGCTGTGTGTTGGTAAAGATAAATAGTTTTTAAAACACAGGGAGGTGGCTCAAAGCCAATGTGGAATGTTTGGGCTAAATTAAATTTCTGTTTTGCAACTTTTAATGCAATATAAAACCGTTCTGAAGCTCACGATGAATATTGATTATCGTCTCAGAAGAGAAAATAAGTCTTTATGCAAGATGCCAAACTAAGGAATGATTCTCATCTCGTAGAAGTGTGGACTAGCATCTGGGCTACAGACTGTCTTTTGTTACCCTCATGGCATCAAAATGTGGAAGCCATATTCTGAGGGGAGTAACAATGTCATACCATAAAACCAGATGAAACATAGCTGAACAATATAGGATTTGAACTCAGGATTTATAAGGTGGGAGGGCTATAGAATGATAAGCAAAACACAGAGCTCTGAACTTACTGTTCCTGCAAACCAAGCACTGAAGTTATAAATTTTAAACTAATATTATTATTTCTGTGACTGAAAATATCCTGTTAATGACAGGTTATAAATTTACCTGATTTGCAAATCAACTAAATTTGGAAAACCAGTGCTTGAAATCTACTTGCCTACTAATTGCAGTTTGTTTCTGCCTGTAGATTCTGGTCTGTTGTCATTAATATATTGAGGTTATTTTTGTCTGGCAGTGACAGAAAACAAACATTGCCTTATTTCTTTCTAAAATTGCATTTTCTTTTGAGAACCAGGTGCTAAGAAACATTTCAACTTTAATCACATATTGCCAATAGACAGTAGTCATTCGGAGATAATCTAGAGAAATTATCTTTCAGATACACTTTA